CTGTGGGCTCCTGAGCTATCGACCCCTTCCCCGAGGACCAGGATTGAAAAGAATAATCCGCCGAAGATCTGGGCTCAGAGGTACATTCCAACTGTCGACCCCAAACAATGGGTCCTTGCGCTCGCCATGTGCACTCCGCGCGGTGCCCTGCACGGGACGCAGCCTCTGCGGTGCAATCTACGTGGTGCCCTTTGCGGGGTGCGAGATCCATGCTGCGCAAGCCACAGGGTGCAGTGCAAGGGGTACACCCTGCGAAATGCTTAAGAAATCATGGGTTAAGAAATTCATAGTCTCAGAACTTGAATAAAAACCCAACATTTCCATTCAAATCTTAGGATTTACGTTGAAACGTTAAGAACAATCGAGACTCTGGCCGAAAATTCAAGTTTTCTTAAGCATCGCCTAAGGTGTATACCTCTCTGTGCCCCCACACTGGACGGCGCAAGACAGCAGCGGCGCAAGAGGCATGGGCGCCCGACTTCGCGCGTCGCGCTGCGCGAGGCGCGAAGCACGAGGCGCGAGGCGCGGACAGCTTCGTGCGCCGGCGCCGCCCCCCAGGGGAGAGAAAGGGGAGGGGAAGGAGGAGGAGGAGGAGGAGGAGGAGGAGGAGAAGGAGGAGGAGGAGGAGGAGGAGGAAGAGGAGGGCTCGGAGCCGAACCGCGAAACCGGAAGCGCGGACAACTTCGCGCCCTCGAGGGCTCCCTTGTCGGAGGCCTCCCAGATGGGGTCGGAGTAGATGGGGTCGGAGGATCGCGCCACATCGCCAACACATCGCCAGTGCATCGGCGATGCATCGGCGTTGCACCGGCGGTGCATCGTCGACGTCGGCGGTGCATCGGCGACGTCGGCGTGAAGCAAATCAGGCTCCGCATCGAGCCGCATCGGCGATGTATCGGCGATGCGGCGCGATCGTCCGACCCCATCTACTCCGACCCCATCTGGGAGGCCTAGACTTGTGCAGTATACATCGTGCAGCACCTGTGGAGCCCAGCCAACAGCTCCGTAACTCAGGCAAGAGCCCCTCAGTGCAAGTACCGTTTCGGGGCGGATGTGAGCAAGGGCCCGTGTTTTCCTTCCCTGCGAGGTCTGGATCAGGGGGAAAGATTCCCGTCCCGCCACCTCGAGGATGGGGCTGGATCCGCTGTCGACAGTCAGGTCCACAGATTGAGAGGAAGATGATACGTCGGCGCTCAGATCCCATCCAATGATCTTCGCGTTGTTTTCGTCCTTGATGGTGCCAGTGGATGACATGGCAAACTGGTCGATTGCGATGGCCGAGTTGCCGTCGCCTAGCTGAATGTCTGCTGCTATCATATTCACGCTCTGCACAGTGACTGACGCCCCTGCGTAATAGAGCGTGTCGCGTGCAGTCATGCCGAGAACCGCGCGGTAGTCTTCCTGATCATCTGATGTCATCGACGAAAAAACCAAATCCATGTGCTGGCTTTGCAGCCCCACATCCAGGGAGCACGAACCCTGCAGGCATGGAATCTCCGCTGCGTCTGTGAGCATGTCGAGCACTCCGCTGGCCAATGAAACGGACATGGTAGCGTTGAGGCTGGAGTCCATGGGGCTGAATAGATTGATGTCCACATCTTGCGCCTGCCCACTGGTAGGTTCATTGGTGAGCGACACGCCAGCTGTACCCATCTCTGTGTCACTGCTGTCGTGGACGGTGGCGCGGACCGTGTAATTTGTACTCTTCGTCACCAGAATCAGAGGGTCCAGCTTGAGAATCTGCTCATAGCTGCCATCTGAGGGCACTTCAACCAACGCGACGACAGTCAAGCCAGTGTCGTCGTGGGTGCCATCGACGTCGACCCGCCCTGCGGTGCTACCGGCAACCGAGAGAGAGGCGTCCATCGTAAAGCCGCCCTGTGTGCGATAGGAATCCGCCAAGGTTCCGCTCAACACGATCTGGTCACCTCCGACGCTTACCGTGACCTCCAAGGTGCCGTCCTCCGTGTCAGCACCAGTGTAGGTTGCCCCGGCAGACGCGTCGAGCAAGGTGCTGGAGGAATCACTGGGGTCCTTCACGACCGCCGAGAAGCTCATGGACGCACTGCTGTTTGTACCCGTGACGGTAATGAACTCGGTACCATCCTCGGGGTTATAGACGCGAGCCGAGAGGGATTCGCCAGCGCTTGCGCTCGAGGTGGCAGACACGCTGGCGATGGTATCGCCACTGTCTGGGGCCTTGATCAGCACGGAGAACGTCGTCTCGTCGGTCGAGTCGGTTGAAGAAAATTCGACCTTGGCAACTTCCACGTCTGAAATCACGACGGCTAAGTCCAGGGAGGCCTCCCCTGCCTCGGCAGAGTCCGCAGCAGACAGGTGCACTTCAAACTGGGTCGCCTCGTCCATCCCGTACTGCAAGTCGAAATCGATAGCGTTGTCAGTGATGGTGGCGTTGAGTTCAATGTCGATCTCGGACCCATCTGCGTACATCATCTCCGAGAACGTCACGGTGGTGCTCTCGCCAGTCAGGCGACGGCCGTCCTTGCTTGTTCGCTTGCTGCTGTTTGTTCCGTGATGCTTCGCTGTTGGGCTACCCCGATCAATATCCAACGTTGCACAAGATACGAAAAATCAAAACACATTACCCTGGCGAAGAACCCAACCCACTGTCAATTCGTGGCGACTATGTGCAGGACCGCTGAATGCGCATGACCATACTGAGAGATTTGCAGTGCCCGTGAACGCTTCCCGAATAAAAGCATTGCCACACTCAATGAGCGGGGCGAAGCGAAATTCGCGAGGCGACACCTTGCGGACCGCAGCCACTGGGGCCTTCGATGGAGCTGCCCATGCGGCCACGAAACGTGTGAGGCATGCGCCGAAATGGGGCGAGACCGCATGCGACCGCAGCCACTGTGGCCCTCCACGGAGCTCCCTATGGGGCCACGAAACATGTGAGGGGTGCGCTGACATAAGGCGTGGCTGCATACGACCGCAGCCACTGAGACCTTCGCTGGAGCCCCCCATGGGGCCACGAAGCGTGTGAGGGATGCGCCGAAATGGGACGGGGCCGCCTGCGACCGCAGCCACTCAGGCCTTCGCCGGGTCGTTTTATAGGGCCAAGAAACCTGTGAGGGGTGCGCCGAAATGGGTCGAGGCCGCATGCGACGGCAGCCACTGGCCACTGGGGTCCTCAATGGAGCTCCTATGGAGCCACGAAACGTGCGCGCCAAAATAGGGCGGGCCGCATGCGCCCCAGCCACTGGGGCGCTCCGTGGAGCTCCCTATGGAGCCACGAAACGTGTGAGGGGTGCAACGAAATGGGGCGGAGCCGCATTCGACCGCAGCCAATGGGGCCGTCGCTGGAGCCCCACATGGGGCCACGACATGATGCGGGGCCGCATGCTACCACGGCGACAGGGGCCTTCGCTGGGGCCCCCTTCGGGGCAGCGAACCGTGCAAAAGGAGGGGTGTGCCGAGATTGGGCAGGGCCGCATGCGCCCCAGCCACTGGGAGCCTCACCGGAGCTCCCCATGGGGCCACGAAGCATGTGAGGGGTGTGCCGACATTGGGCAGGGCCGCATGCCACCGCAGCCACTACAGCCTGCAGTGGAACTCCCTTTGGGAGCACGATGCGCGTGAGGGGTGTGGCGAACCGGTAATGAGAATGGTGGATGTGGTGACGAGTATGATGATGTGGATGATGATGATGACGACGACGACGACGACGACGACGACGACGACGACGACGAAGACGACAACGACGACGACGACGACGATGATGATGACGATACGGGTAAGAATAACAATAATCATTATAACTAAAAAGTATCAAAGAAGGAGAGGAATGATAATGCTGGTGATGATTATGATGATGGTGATGATGATGATATTGACGGCGACGACGACGATAATGACGACGACGATGACGATAAGGATGAGGATGAGGATAAGGATGGGGATGAGGATGATGATGAGGATGCTGATGATGAGGAGGATGAGGATGAGGACGACGATGAGGATGAGGATGAGGAGGAGAAGGAGGAAGATGAGGATGAGAATGAGGATGAGGATGAGGATGAGGATGGTGGTGGTGGTGATGATGATGAGGATGATGATGATGATGATGATTCTGAGTATGATGATGGTGGTGATGGTGATGATGGTGATGATGAGTACTGTGATCATGATGATGGTGATGATGGTGATGATGGCGATGATGAAACTGGTGCTGATGATGCTGATGCTGATGCTGATGCTGATGATGATGATAATTATGATAATGATGATAATGATGATGATGATAATGGTAATGGTGATGGTGATGGTGATGGTGATGGTGATGGTGATGGTGATGGTGATGGTGATGGTGATGGTGTGATGCTGATGACGACGACGACGACGACGACGACGACGACGACGGCGACGACGACGACGACGACGACGGTGAGGATGATGTTAATGCCAAGGATGAGAAGGATGAGAAAAGAAGGGAAAGGAGGTGAGCGTGCAGCGAGGAGAAGGAGAGGAGGAGGAGACGCGCGGCGCTGCGAATTCAAAACGAGGACCCAACACACAGAAGGACTGGGAATTAACAAAAAAAACCTGACGAAGAACCCAACCCATTATCAGAACGAGGCGACTACAAGTAGGACCGCTCAATACATAAGAATGCTGCGAGGGGCATGCGGAGATCCTGAAAGCTTCGCCAAAAAACGTCAAACCGAACTCAACGTGCTCCATGCACGCGCGCACTCTCGCAATTCTGTCCGCGCGCAGGGAGAAAGCGACGAACCCGCCGTGGACCTCCTTATGTGGCCACGGAACGTGTGAGACGTGCGCTCAAATGGGGCGGGGCCGCATGCGACCGCAGCCACTGGAGCCGTCGCGGGAGCTCCCGATGGGCCACGAAACGTGCGAAGTCTTCGCCGAAATCCGGCGAGGCCGCATGCGGACGCAGCCAGGGGGGCCTCCCGTGGACCTCCACATGGGCCGCGAAGCGTGCGAGGGGTCTGGCGACATGGGGCGGGGCCACATGCGGGCGCAGCCGCCGCGGCCTTCGCTGGAGCCCCCCGTGGGGGCACCGACACGTGTGAGGGGTCGCAGCCACGGGGGGCTTCGGTGGAGCTCCCGACGGGGCCACGAAGCGCGTGAGGGGTCTGCCGAAGATGGGGGCGGGGCCGCACGCGGACGCAGCCACGGGGCGCGCCTCCGGAACGCCGAGCGCATGCGGCCGGCCCCCTCCGCGGCTTGGGCGCGCCCGGGCGGGGGGCGACCGTACGGGGGCAACGATGGGATCAGGCGTTGCCCCTGGCACGTCTTTAAGGGAACGGACAATGACAAAAACATAAAAACTCGAAGGTCCGCGCGGATTTCTCGGATCGGCGCTGGACCCCCCTGGCGGCGCCTCCGGCGCCGCCCCTGGCGCGCTCCGCGCGCCAGGAGCTCCACGTGGGGCCACGAAGCATGCGAGGGGCGTGCCGGCATGCGCGGAGGGAAGACGATGATGAGGAGGAAGAGGAGGGGGGAAGAGGACGGGGAGGAGGAGGAGGAGGAGGAGGAGGAGGAGGAGGAGGAGGAGGAGGAGGAGGATGAGGAGGAGGAGGACGCGTGGCGCTGCGGGTTCAACACAAGGACCCAACACAATTTTTTTCCGTCGGCGGCGAGGCAAAGGCAATCCGCACCAGCGTGGGGGAAAGACCCAACACACAGGAGGGTTGGGAAAAACAATGAACTCGACGCCGCCGTGATAGAGCACGACTCTGGCATGAGCCAAAGGGTTCTGGGGTGCCCGCGACATGAATACCATGGAATTGGACACCCTGGGATAACCCGCTGCCTTTCATCCTTAGCTGCGTTTGTCAACGCTCATGGGGCCCGGGAAGAGCCCCGAGATGCCGAAAACAGCTCAACAACCTCAGACCCCATTCCCTTAGGACCCCCAGCTCTCTGCCCTCCTGCTTCCTTCCTCCCCCCGGATGTCCCTGGAGACCCCCCGAAACCCCAAACAAATCCAGACACTATCAAAACCTCAATTCCCCGAACAGTGCTTGCACTTAGGAGCTCGTACTTCTAGAGTCAGGAACTAGGCCACAATGTTGGTCTGGCAGCAATGTTACCGCCGTCGCCGCCCCATCGTCGTCTCGTCGCCGCCCGTCGTCTGGGCCGCGGTTTGTTGGTCTGGCGGTAATGTTGCCGCCGTCGCCGCCCGTCGTCTGGGCCGCGGTGTTGGTCTGGCAGCAATGTTACCGCCGTCGCCGCCCCGTGGCCGCCTCGTCGCCGCCCGTCGTCTGGGGCGCGGTGTCGGTCTGGCGGCAGTGTTGCCGCCATCGCCGCCCCGTCGCCGCCTCGTCGCCGCCCGTCGTCTGGGCCAGATTGCGGCGCACTGCTTCGCATGGCTTTGCATTGCTTTGCATTGCATTTGTTCACTGGATACCCCCCCCGGAATATCCCCCACTTTCGCATTGCAATTTACATATGATTCTGCCACATCGTCCATCCGAAATATGAACGCGCACCATCCCATCGACACCCCACGCCATCCTGTGCAAGAAAACTATGCGCGCGCACTCGTTTATCGAAAATCACATCAGCAATTTTCGAAAATCCTTTGCAAAGAATGCGTCGTCGGCCGCGCATGCCGGAATCTGTCAAAAACATCAGGTTCCGTAGGAAATTCAAAATCGAATCAACGAACAACATGATTTCGCAAAACGGATTGTCAAAAACATTTGCGCGCGCCGCTGCGTTTTTGTATGGCGTTTCAAAAATTTCATAGAATGCTACCAAGCGGGTTTCGCGCGCGCATGCCGAAATCATTCGAACGTTTTTTTTTTGCGCGCGCGCTGTCACAAGGATTTGTTGTGTTGTAAAAAAAAAAAAAAAAAAAAAAAAAAAAAAAAAAAAAAAAAAAAGCCGAAGTGCACACGCGCGCGTCGCCGCGCGCGCATGCCGAAATCAGTCAAAAACCTCAGGATTCGGAAAAAAAACTACTAAATTGTCAAAACCGATTGTCCCGAAACCATCTAAAACACACATGGTTTTGCAACATCAGTATTCAAACAAAAAAAGTGCGCTCGCGCTTTCGCGAAGTCCTACAGAAACCATGGGGGTTCCAACATGGTCATTAAACTCTGCCAAACGCGCCCCTCGCGACGCATGCCGAAATCAGTAGAACGCGTTTTGCCCGCATACGCGGGGGGCACGATCCGTGTCAAATGATACCACGTTGCCAACAATCGCCGCCGCATGGGTTTTGCAAACCAAGTTGCGGGTGGGTGGGTGGGATGATTGCGCGAGCAGTGGAGTGGACAACTCACTGCGGGAAAAAATAGTTACACGACATAGATTGCGCACCACATAGAATGCACCACAGAGTTTGCGCCACACACGCCTGTTGCACAAATAGATTGCGCAACATAGATTGCACCACATAAACTGCACTACACAGATTGCTCAAACAAACCTTCACGACACGTATGGCACAACGTAGATTGCACATGAGATGTTGCACAACATAAATTACACCACGTCGATTCTCCT